TATTTTGTTAAATTATTTAATTAAATTATTTATTATATATAAGTTTAACAAATAGTACAAAAATGAAAAGTATATAAATTTACAAAACCATAGTAAAAACTGTATAATAACACAGGCCTAACACATTTGAATTTATTGTTTATAGTCATCTGTCGTAATTCAGTCAGCTTGCCAGATAGTAAAAAAAAAAACTCCATACATTCTTATCATTTATTATATATAAGTTTAACAAGTAGTACAAAAATAAAAAGTATATAAATTACAAAACCATAGTAAAAACTGTATAATAACATAGGCCTAACACATTTGAATTTATTGTTTATAGTCATCTGTCGTAATTCAGTCGGCTTGCCAGATAGTAAAAAAAAAACAAACTCCATACATTCTTATCATTTATTATATATAATGATATATAATAAATATAATTTAATTAAATAATTTAACAAAATAGTACAAATAACGAATAAGTTAATTGAAATACACCGCAAACCAAACGTAAAAAATAATCAAGTTATTACATTTTTAATACAATTTTGCATGAATAATAAATAATAAATTTAAATGTGTTAGGCCTATGTTATTATACAGTATTTACTATGGTTTTGTAATTTATATACTTTTTATTTTTCTACTATTTGTTAAACTTATATATAATAAATAATTTAATTAAATAATTTAACAAAATAGTACAAATAACGAATAAGTTAATTGAAATATGCCGCAAACCAAACGTAAATAAACACATTTTTAATACGATTTGCAATTATACAACTTCATTTATTTTTATAAAAATGTAGTACATAAAATTACATTTTTAATACGATTCTGCAATTATACAACTTCATATATTTTTATAAAAATGTAGTACATAAAAATATCAAAATTCTAATTTTCAATTACACATTTATACATCACGAACGGCAATACGAGCAAATCAACGACTGAAAAGACTGTGGTATGAATATGTAGCTGGTATCCGGGAGGGTTCATTCATTGATGACATCGGCAAGCAGACTACATTCACTGAGAGACGTGGTTGGCATTCCCTAGAAATTACCGGCGGCTCAACATGTCGGCGGCTCAACCGGTCGTATCCCACCTGTACTACTAATACGCCTAGGGCCTCCTAAGCTACACAGCAGGGAGTATGCTGGCTTAACAACTGTAAAGTAAATATTAAGACTGATTTTGCTGAAAATTAGGCTAGCCTTTTTCACGAATCGGTAGACATCTTGAAGAAGTAATGTCAATGACAAACATTGCGAATCAGCGGTGCGTAACCAACAGAAATAAGATAAGCTTTGGCTGATGATGTCAGAAAATCAGCCCAAAAGCTTATCTTATTTCTGTTGGTTACGCACCGCTGATTCGCAATGTTTGTCATCACTTCAAGATGTCTACTGATTCATGAAAAAAGTGGTATTCTACAAATGGAGGAATTCCTCCTTGAAATGTTCGGCGCTAATGCATAAGTTCACCTCATCCTCAAAATCAAACTTCCAAGTTGTAATTCCTTTAAATATTCATGTATTATGTAAAAACATGCCTTTACCTACACGATTAACACTATTATATGACAAATCCAGCTTGTTGTATTATTAAGAAAATTCAGTTTTACCGCAGCTCTCTCGAGTGGCTCCCATCCGATCGCTTCTCGGCCATCTTGTAAATGAAATGGTTGCCAGAATCACGTATACGACTTCTAGTAACTTAGGGAATCAATTGTTTAACACTGTGCGCTACTATACCCATTTTGGTTCTAGTTGCACACAGTGATAAATACAGTAATAGGATACAATTGAAATTAGTGATGGGCAGTTTATCACTGTGCGCTACTATACCCATTTTGGTTCTACAGTAGTTGCGCACAGTGATAATGTATAGGATAAAATTCAATTCAGTTGATGGTTCACCTCATGCTCAAAATCAAACTTCCAAGTTGTAGAGTCCCTAAATATTAATGTATTATGCAAAACATGCCTTTAGCTACACGATTTACACTATTATATGACAATTTCAGCTTGTATTATTAATATAAAAAAAATCCGGTTTTAACGCAGCTCTCTTGAGTCGCTCCCATCCGATCGCTTCTCGGCAGTTTATGGATGTCCCCCAAGTAGTCAACTACTGTAGGCCCCAATTTACTGCATACCGGTATTTGCTATTGTAAATAATTACAGTACCGAACTTTAGAAATTTAAATGTAAAGCCAAACTATACAAAAATTCAAGTGTTTTGAATTGTCACATTTTTGTTATTCCTTTTTCATACATTAACGTATTAAACAATAACGAAAACTGTATTTATAAAAATAACATTAAGACTATCATATACTATAATTTGAGTAAGGACAAAATGTTTGTGCTGATTTACCATCCAGATATGTGCACAGCTCTGGCAGAAATATATCGTAGTAGCATTCTTTTAAATGTCTTGCCATTATTGTCATGTTTGGAGAATTTTACAAACACCAAGTCTACAAAATATTGGACGAGGACATGTAATGGAATAAAATTTATTATAAAGTGACCATGAACTGTAATCACTATAATAAGTAAATATGTGACGAATAAGGAGTTTCTGCAGACTACATCCATCACAACATTTTAGCATGTATTTTTGACCAGTAGGCATAGTACCTTAACTGCTTTTTAACATTATAAACAAAATTATTATTGGCTCATGTTCTTCATTAAAAAAGTAATCTAATTTTCATTTGCAAAGTTCTTTCTAAAATTACAGTTAAAGATGAAGCAGTACCTGTAGGCCAATTCAGTTATATGCTTTAGAATATTTTGTTATGGCAATGCTTGCACCATTATTAATTGGGCGGATCCATAGGGGTCGATGGTCGTCGACGCCGGTCCTCTTTTACCACACTTAACATGTTAGACCAGGGGCAGATTTAGGGGGAGCGTGCAAGGAAAACATGTCAGTCAAAAAGAAAAAGCAGAAGAAAAAATGGATTGCCCAAAACGCCTCAGAGGTTATTTTAGGGCGTCTAGAAAACAAAAATTTTGAGGGAACATTAATTCGGACTATCTACGGCGGTGTTACCTTGATCGGCCCCACTTTCTGGGGGGCCCTCCCCCCTCTTTCGCACATCTCTGGATCTGCCCCTGTAAATGCTCTTTACCTGGCAAAAAAGTGTAAATAGTGAACAGCTTTTTCTTCTTTATGAGGTAGGGGATGATCATTCCTGAGAATAATGTTCCGGCTGATATTATTGTTGGCTTTTAAATCGCTCAAAATATGGGAGGGTGACAAGAAAAAAGACGGTTCTCCAAGTCATTTAAACTTATTTCATTCATTCTTTCATTTAAACTTACTTCATTCATCCTGCATATAATCTGGACCCACCCCAGTACCTCACAGTGTTGCTGGCGGCCTTTTTCCAAGTATTATATTAATATCAGTAAAAAAGGCATCATGATACTGTATAAACCTTAGACGAGGAGCGTCTCGAACTAGCGCCTCGCCCTGGGTTCAGTTGGTAGAGAAGGGGAGGGGTGGACTTATCAGAGGGTACAGTAGTTTGTATGAAAACAGATTCTGCCAAATCACAGAAACTCCCTGGCTATGAACTGACAGTATCGCATATCACCTCACACCACTAAGGGCCTGTTTCTGCTGCTTATCCTCAAAATACGGTATAAAATGTACCACATAAAATACGATATCTAAAATCCAGTGTCCCGTTTCTGCTTAAAGTATTTCTTGTTTGGTCGTGTTAAAAGGTCCGCTTTACTACGCAAAAAATGCCTTTCGTGAGACGGAAGTTTAGATTGACGTGTGTAGTGAGCTTTCTTCTTCTCGATAAACATGGTTTCTTTAAAGAACGTTATAATTTTGATTTCATCTATTTTGTCTATAATTAAAAGTTGCAACGAAGGAAGTTTTACACCTCAACTTCTGCTACAGCCTAGAAATGATTTAGCATGGGCTTCCCCCTCAGTTAAATCCTAAATATCATTGTATTTTCAGTTCACATTTCGCACTTTAGCTTTTCCACATGTTTAATTTATGATCAAGCTGGCGGATAAATCAAAACACAACTGGCGTCATGCTCTGTTGGGTCTTGACCTCATGTCAGGGGTCATAAAAATGTTGGTATATTTATAGGCAGCAGAAATGAGGTATGAAAAATAAGGTATCTGTTGCAAAACACCGGAATAATTCCACAAAAATAGTGAAAAATATGGTATATAAAATATGATACATTTTTATGAGCCCCATTTATGCTGCAAAAAAAAAAAAACATATTTTAAGAATAATGTATACATATGGTATTTTTTTGGCAGCATGAACAGGGCCTAGGAGAGTCAATGCCTTTACTGTGTAATATGAATAATTCTAGTTCAATTTGGTTTTACTTTACTTAGGATAAACTTAACTCAATTAAATATGGTTCTTGAAGCAATCCGATATTGCAGTGGAACTCTGAGCATTTTGAATCAGTTGCTACTGCCAGATGTCTGTGAATTCGAGGAAATTAAGAATGTTCAAGATGGATGGAATGCTATCAAAGCAATGAAGGTAACGTCTATTGGGTTTATTTTTAATGTGTAAAAAAATTTGTATAATGTATGCGTAATTGTACATTAAACATTTTGGCCAGTGCTTCCAACTATTCCAAAGTTTTTGATTTTGGAAACATACTCTGTCAATTTTTTTTTTTTTTTTTTAACATTTAATTACTGTTTCAAAGTGCATTGCTTTAAGAAACATTAAGAAACTATAGGTGGCATTGACTACGAAGAAATAAGAATTCTGAACTAAGCACTCTGCATGCGCATGTGAAACACAGGGAGCATGCGCTGGGGAATGCTAAACAGTGAGCATATGCACTTTATACTAAATGAGCATGCACAGCTCAAGCGAAAGTGAGGCTGTGAAAATGGAAAATGAGAATTTCGGACATGTACAGTATCATAATCGATTGTCAGGAAGTTGTGATTAAGTTATTGCAGACTCCCTGGTCAAACAACAACAGCAGTTTATTATAGCTCTATCATCATTACGTATGCATTGATAATCTGACAAATATAGCCACAGAATGTGACACTAGGCTAGGGCCTATCTAACCAGCCTAGGCAAAGCTGAAGCACAAATTTGGCCATATGATGGAGTTGTTATGTTTTGTCTAGATATACATACTATACGCTATCTCAGTAATGATAAAGAAGATTAGCATACGGTACTGTATCCCTAACATCGCAGACTTCGTGGTCAGACAACAACAGCAGTTTGTTTATTTTGGCTCTATCGTTGTACGTACAATGCATTGACAATCTGACAAAATAGCCACACAGAAACTGTCAGTGTCAGTAGGCCCTAGCCAGTCTAAAACTGAAGCGTAAAATTGGCCATGATGGAGTTAATTATCTGTAACTCATGATTTGTCCAACCCTAGCCAGTAAAATAATAAAAATAATAAAATATATTTTTAAAAATTGAGTGGCTATTGTTACTATACACTAGTTGTGAACCAATTCCTGTAGGCTATTTTTACACCATACGGACATGCATGCACAGTGGATAGTTCCATTTTGACAAAGATTTAAAAAAGCATTGCCATGTTGTTATTGGAAATATACATTTTTGCAACAAAATATTATTTTAAAAATCCCCAAAAGAAATGCATTGAAGATGGTAGGGATAATTTGAATATAAGAAGATTGAAACGCATTAAGAGAGCATACAAATGTACAGTGTTTCTAGGTAAAGTAAGTATTATTATTAGACTCCACAAAGGAGCGAAGCTCCGTGGAGGCTATTGTTTTTGCCTATGTTCTTCTTCAAGTTGTCGTCATTGTCGTTGTTGGTCATTTGATTGTTACCACAATATCAACATAACTATGTGTGGAATATCAGATAAAGTCAATCAATTAATCAATCAAACAAACTATCTAATTTTATAAAACTAAATCTATAATTCAATTATCACTAATCAAGAAGGAGGGTTTACATTAGCTGTCCAATCCTGAACATTGAATTAAATGGAACAAAACAAGCATGTCTTGAGCATTTCTCTAAAATAATTGATTGTTGAATAGATAAGATGTTTTGTTGTGTATAGGCCTGTATATAATCTCTGTATTTTAAAATAATAGGTACGTGGAGCACCGGCAATTGCAATAGTTGGCTGTTTATCTCTTGCTGTTGATCTTCATAATAGGAAGAAGTTTGACACACCACAAATACTTGGTGATTTCATCATGGACAAGCTTGAATATCTGAAGACATCGAGACCAACTGCTGTTAATATGGCTGAGGCTGCAGGAAGGCTGACTATGATTGTAAAGGAACTCTTAAACAATCCAAATACTTGTGTTAACTTGCTTAGAAATAGGTACAACAATACCACACAAAATTTAATTTTCAGTTTAATTAATTTAACCATAGTATTCTTCATATGATGTTGCTCCACAATATCAACACCTTTTTTTTTTTTTTTTTTTTTTTTTTGTTGGTTCTTTTTGTAGAATTATAAAAGAAGCAGAGGACATGTTGAAGCAAGACGTCTCTGACAACAGAAATATTGGCAAGTATGGGGCAGATCATATTTGCCAGAATTCCCCAGACCCAACATCCAAAGCATGTGTTTTGACTCACTGTAACACAGGGTCATTAGCTACTGCAGGGTATGGTACTGCTTTAGGTAAGCTGTAAAGAAAACAGATTGTTTTATTGTTATAAGCAATATAACTTAAAAGAGAATAAAGTTTCAGAAGATTTTTTTAAATATTACCTTTCCTATTAAAATGAAAGGTCATCATGATCTTTTTCATGTTTTCGCATCGTTTGTCTTAGGTGTTATTCGGGCCTTACATGAGTCTGCTAAACTAAGGCATGTATACTGCACTGAAACACGTCCATATAACCAGGGAGCAAGATTGACAGCCTATGAATTGGTCTTCGAGAAAATTCCATCCACTCTTATAACTGACAGTATGGTTTCATTTGCCATGAAACAAAAACAAATAACAGGTAAAGTTTTAAAACAAGATTTTACATCAAATATCTGATCTCAACTGATTAGTCATATGTAAAATAGGTTTTGTTTACTATCAAAAAATCATTAATTGGGATAGTCCTACAGCAGTTAAAAGCCTTAAAATCCTCCATCTTCAATTAACTACAGTATTAACATTTACTTATGTGGTACTTGGTGTTTGCCATTCTACTGACTAACAACAGTTGATTCATTGCTATGTTGTTAAAAAAGAGATACAGTGGTGTTCTACAATATTATAATAAAACTCACTGTATATACAGTACCTGTAAGTAATTTTTAAAATACATTTAGTAATCTACTACCATACACTTTCTAAGATGGAAGCTATGGGTCTCCCTATGCACTTACAGGTATTTGGTGCCTACTATATCATTTAAAATATACAATTTTAATTGATAAGATTAATTTTACATGGATATAGTGATTCATACCTAAACAATACATTAAGTTTAGCTAAATATAAATACTGTACTGTATAATGACATAACAAATAAATAACAATAATTTAAACGTGTGTACATAGTATCTATCGCTACTACTACAGTAATAAGATTAATATTTTTCAATCTTATAATCAATTTTATATAGCTGGAGTTAGTTTCGACCTTGGCAAACCTTTGCTAAAAAGGTACACTTTCTCCATCAAAAGGCTTCTTCTATGAATGGAATGACCTGTTCGAAGCACGAACTCCTGCAGACCAAACCCAATACCGTTACGATTTTTAATCCTACGGGAAATCCACCCACGATACATTTAGTCCATTGAGGATGCCATCTAACATAAAAGTGTTAATCCCTGATCTTTATAAAAATTGAGGAATAAGTATAATAAGCCAACATGATGCCTGTATAAAAGTGAAATGTTGAATTAAGTATAATGGCCTTACCAATTTTTGGAGTACTCAGTGCCCTTCCTAAAATAATAATAATAATAATAATAATAATAATAATAATAATAATAATAATAATAGTTGATATTTATAAGGTGCCGGTATCCGGTTGGTACCAGAACCAAGCAAGACAGAAAAAATGTGAAAATGGAATAAAAAGCCTACATGGCATACTAAAAAGGACTTTTTTTATTATTTTTTAAGGCTTAGTTTTTGAACTACTACAGTAACTGTACATTTCCTTTGTTTTCTTTATTGAAAGCTGTTGTAGTAGGAGCAGATCGTGTTGTTGCCAATGGAGACACAGCAAACAAGATTGGGACGTACCAACTAGCTATTGCAGCCAAGTATCACAACATTCCATTTTATGTAGCAGCTCCCAGCACTTCCTGTGACTTTTCCCTAGCTAAAGGGGAGGATATAATCATAGAAGAACGCCCTCACAGTGAATTAACATCCATCAAAGGCCATCAAATAGCTGCACCTGGTGGGTATTTGTGTAGTTTCTTAATGTTCAAAAGATGTGGGAATTGAGAATATTATTTTCATTGATGGATATAGTGGAGTGTTTGGAACTAGAGTGGGAGTACTGGAGGCTATGTATTCTTTAGCATTGTCATATTAAACATTTTAATAGGTTTTTAATGTTTTTGAAAACTTAATTATAGTTCTATGCATACTGTAGGTATCATGACAAAAATGTTAATTTGATGTCAATAAATATACAAATGTATAAAATATACAATGTACAAAGATTAAAAACATTCAATTCATAATCATAAAAATACCAAAAATGTGTGTACACATTTTAATAATTCAATCTAAAAACTGATTTAGATTTATTAATTAAGAAGGATTACATTAAGGTATGGTTTTCAGGGTAAGATATAACTTAAATTTAATTGAATTTTATTTATTTAATTATTTTATGGATGCTTGTAAAAATAATAATTATTTTTCCAATATACAGGAATTGGTATATGGAATCCAGCTTTTGATGTCACACCTGCAAGTTTAATTACAGGTGGTATCATTACTGAAAAAGGAGTATTTCAACCATCAGAGCTAAAGCGAAAACTACTGACAGATATGTTGTAAAAACTTGGGAATTTTGGCATTAAAATTTTCCCTAATATATAATTTATTCCTAACATTGTTGAAGTATTTATTTAAACATTTTGAGAATAAGGTCTCAAAATATCATATGGAGAATTGCAGAAATATAATTTGATATTCAGTTCTTATGAGTCTGGAGTAAAATGTCAGTAGAGTAGAACCCCATTTGTAAGACACCCCTGTTAAAGGGATGAGGACACTTTCCGAGTGTGACAAATGATCAAATCAACCGGATGTAATTTTGCAATCTGATATTAGTCTTTTTGCCGATGATACAAAATTGTTTCGAGTGGTTCAGTCCGATTTGGAAAGAGATTTGCTTCAGTCTGATGTTGATGCAATGTTCAGATGGTCTCGGGAGTGGCAGTTACCTTTTAATTTTTTTTTCTCTTTTGTGGCAACAGACCACATTTATTCATCAATATCATTATAAAGCACAGTTCGTACATTTACAATTGATGGTATTATATTGATTTTATACATTGATTTAGTTGTGGGTTAGCCTTTCATTATCCTCCTTTTTTTGTGGTTTTCATATTTTTTTTTTTTTAATTCCCTCTCTTTTTCTCCTTAATATACAAGAAGATTTTTTTAAATTTATGTATTTATTAAAAACTATATACAGTGAACACAGTCACAGTGTTACCGAACGCATGTAAGTGTGAGTGGCAGTTACCTTTTAATTTGATTAAATGTAGTATTATTCATTTTGGTTCTAAGAATCCAGCATATCAATATTTTATCGGTGAAGGAGCTTCTAAAGTTAGCATTGAGTGTGTTACACAAGAAAGTGATTTAGGAATTTTGATTGACAACAAATTAGATTTTTCCGCTCATGCTACTAAAGTTGCAAGATCTGCAATTAAGATTTTGGGAATGATTAATAGGTCTTTTAAGTATCTCTATAGTAGGAGTTATATGTATCTATACGTCTATGATTAGACCTAAGATGGAGTATGGTGGCAGTTCATGGATACCTCTTTATCAAAAAGACATTAATAATTAGGAAAAAGTTCACTTTTTTATTGTATCACTACAACTACAATTATTTAGAATAATAATAAGTCATTCAAATTATAATTTTGATAGCTTTCGAGGCATAAATTTAACATCAAACCAGATTTTTGGACAAACCATAAAATTGACATCAATATAGGCCATTTGTGTGTGTTGTCTAAACTATCAGGCCAATTTGAACCCGTAAACCTAACCTTAGCTTTTAACTCTATGGAACTAATGGTTTTTTTTTAAATAAAATTTTAATGATTTGGAAAATGTACTCACTGCTGTTTACATATTGGACGAACAAAATTAAATATAATCAATTTTTTTATTTTATTTAATTTCTAGGTAACAATACAACAAAAACATTACAATGAGAATACAATACCCCAAGGATTACCATGAGATCTAATCTTAATCATTGAATTAATTTTTTCTTTTTTTCTTTTACTTTCTTATTGGCCCAGTCAAATCTATACCATAACCTGAATATTCAACTTTAGTTTTAATTACATTTATTTTGATTTCATATCATAAATGTATTATTTGCATTGCAAATTATTGTTACAACTTTGTTTAATTATATTGCAACTCGTTCTTAAATCAATTAAAATAAAATTATAAAGAATCTATGCCATTATTGTATGACTATTAGACTTGCCACAAGTCTCTAATTTATTGACTTTTTGTAACGTAAGATAATTTCGAAGAGCACCACTAGCATCTCTTAGTTGAGGGAAAAATTGACGGAACAATTTTCATGGTGATATTGGTGTGTAATTAGACAAGACCTTGAGTACAATCATATTAACATTACTACTGTTTGGTATACAAAAGGAATGATCACGCTCATTCTTCTTGATTCACTATTAAAATCCATATCTAGAACATGTGTATATTTGAAAACTGCAATCAAGTCAGATTAAAAATGAAATAATTAAAAGCAAATCTTTGTAAAGTCATTTGGCTCAAGTTTAAATAGTAAACTCTACACACGAAGCAATAGTAAACACTTGTTCAGTCAAGCATGACAATTTAACTTTTTACTCCACCATAATCTATGTGGAGTAATCCTGTGCTATAACATCTATCATCAAATCAGTGAGGCCTTGATATAGGGTCTCAATCAACAAAATATATGGTATATGAAATTAAACATAGGCTTACTGGAAAAAGAAAACATTTGAGAAGGAACTACAATCATACAGGATAAAAAGAAACATACATATTTATTCCAATATACGCCCCAGGGTGCTTATTGCTAAGAAGAAGGGTTTTTGAGGGGCATTTATTTATGGGAGGCATTTATTCGATGGAGGTGTTTATATTTGTTTTTTGTTTAAAATGGATATATTGCCTCTATACTCAAAATATTCTCTTATTCATTGTAAATGTGGAACTACAGTACAACACAAAATGTGTTATTGCGTAATCATAAAGACTTAATAATCCCGACTAGGTTAAAAAAATGTTTTTTTTTGTGAACTTGTATAATTCTAATCCATACCATAACATGTACCCTTAATTCTAATTCATGCTCAATATAAAACAAAAAAAACATTGCATCATGAAATAATATTGGAAACTATAATAATAATAATAATAATAATAATAATTATTATTATTATTAATTTTATTATTATTATTAATAATAAAAACAAAAAAAAGAGAACAACACCAAAACAAAATCAAAACAACAGTTTGTAAAACAGAACATACGGCTTTTGGTATCCCCACATCATGCCCTATCACCATGCAAGAGGGGAAATTTGTATCAAATATTTTAATAACCCATCCAATTTTGTAGTCTTAGAAACTTGGATCAATTGGTGAAATTCTGATAAAAAAAAATCCAAGACTACAGGATTTAAAGCATTTGGTTCCTGTTAATGTACATTTTACCCTACATAATTCACTTGTTCTTCCATATTTCTCGTATTGTAATGTAGTTTAGGGTAATACCTTTCAGTAAAACCCTGAAAGTTTGTCCATAACTGCATAAATAATAAATACCCACGACACTTTTATATGTTTGACAACGAAAAGGTATATAACTACAACAGAAGATCTTCATCTATTCGCCTCCCCAATCGTAGGACAACACTGTTTCAGCAGAGTATTTATTATTCTGGTGCTAAACTAACTCTGGGATAATTTCATTTCATTTATTGCGCCTTAATATATAAAAATAGTTGTTGTCATGAGGCAGGATTTCCCAAAAGTAGAAAATTAATCTACTATCGAGGGGCTCTCCTCACAACAACGACGAATAATATACAGATCATAATTATATATCCATAATTCAAATATAATATAAAAAATTTAATACGGCATTAAGAACTTGAATACAGTAAAAAAGAAAAACATTAAAAAATTAAAATAGACAATATAATGGAGAACAACAAATGAACTGAAAAACCTTATGAAAATTTAATAACAGAAAAAGGATAGCGATGATATTAATTGCTTCAAAAATAATTTTAAATTTCATTTATTATAAGAAACATAATACAATTGTAAGTTTTGCTAACTATTAATGCGTTATATTAGCAGTTATTTTTTAAATGGAAATGTACTCGTTTGTTTTGCAAGATTTTTATTTTGCTATTTTTAGTATTGTCGAATTTTTCTTTGTTTATGGCGTCCCTGCCATAAGTATGTTGCTTTGTAGGTGATGCCACCGTGTTCATTCTTTTTTTTTTAAATGGAAGTAGAACCCGTACTTTGGGGCACCCCTATTCAAGGGACACCCCTATTCAAGGGACGCCTCTATTAAGGTGACACTGTTCCGTGAAACGAGGAGCGATATATCATTCAACACTGTGGCCAACACCTATAAAGGGGACTCCCCTATTAAGTGGACGGGGACACCTGAGTGTGCCGAATGGTCAAATAACCCCTATTAAGGGGACACTTTTTTTCCTATTGTATCCTAAAAAATTCAAGTCTCAAAATAAGAAAAAAAAATCACTAAACTTTAAATATTGACACATTTATCACCTTTCTACTGCTGTTTGTCAAGGGCGAGCTTTTGTTACACTACGTAATAATAATAATAAATATTATTAAACTATTGTTTTCCAAAAATATATAAATATTTCTCTGATCAATGATACAAGAGAAAAAGAAAAACAGTTTCAACATAAGTTGCACATACATTAAGACTAACTATAAATAAAAAATAATAATTTTCAATTGTCACGTAAAAATTCTCAGGGTCCAACATTGCTTGTTTGCGGCAAGTTGCATAAGGTTTTCAAGATCTTTTAAGTTTATTAATTTTAGATTATGTTTACTTAAATCGTTTTGCAGTAGTGACAACTGATTTTTTCTATGTCTACCAACTCGGCTACGAGCATTACATGTAAGTGAAAACTGAAGTGATTGAATGGCCGGTTAAAATTCAGTGGTTCTCAAGACGTGACATAACATATTCTATCGGGATCTATTTATACGATTTGAAAGTGGTTCAGTATTAGTGATCTCGTATAGTGAAAAATTGCTGACAACTGTCTCTTATACACATCTAGATGTGTATAAGAGACAGATATACAGTCGATGACAATCGGTGCTTTCGTAAATAAAAAGGTACAAACTTAACTAAACAAATACATAAAAAGGAGAAATATGCATATAAAAATATACATATAAACACATATGAACCAAAAACAAATGTAAGTGACAAAAATGAGAGAGCAGGTAGCCCTTGGAAACCAAGAAAGTTCAAAGAGCTTTCTCTTGTCTCCAACTAAATAACAATTAAGACTAGCTAATAAAAAAAAACAATGTTCAGCAATACAGAACTTAATTTACAATAAGGATTGAACATGTTTAATTTCTGATCTCTTTTCCTAAGCTCTCTTAGCATAAAGTTTATCAAAAATTTGCTCTACTTCATTAGGTAGAGGAAAGCTGTTGATTACCTAAAACATAATGCCGTTTATTGTCAGTAGTCTTAGTTTGAGAATTCATTCCAGATATTATTATAATTCATTAATGCATGTTCAAGCTTGTCCGTCCAACTCTTCTAATCTTGTGTTTGAAAGAGCAGGACAAATAAACAGAAAGTGTTTTATTAAGTTTCCTCTTGATTAATGTTACAAAGTGTACAAAAACCATCATTTTCCATCTAAATACTCTGTTATCCAAAGCAACGTGTTCGAGCGAAGTTTAAATTTTAGGGATACTCCTTCAAAATCTAATTTGTTTATTTTGTTTTAAAATTATATTTATAGATATTTTACTGTTTTTCCACGCTTTCTGGTATTTATCAAATGCAATGTTAGCAATGAGTAATTCTATTTTCAATGTCTTTGTCAGTGTTAATTATTGAGCCAAGTAATTTGTGAGTTTTCCATTCAGTTTATTTCTCATCGTCTATTTGAAAGGTAACAAAATCGGTTTTCTCTTCATTTTAAAGTTCTTCAGTAACTACTGGTAAAACATTTTTAAGTTCTTCAATGCTACACTCTTTTATTTTATCAAGGTCATCAGCATAAATAGTTTCGAGAGGTACCGTAAGTGATTGCAAGAGATTGGAGGATAAGGCTCGCTTAAAACAGAATGTAATTCAATTAATGCTCCTGCAAAATTGAATGTGAACAGTTTGCCTGATACTGTCTATTTGGAATGCCCCGATCAGATTTTATATCAAACGTGTTGATTCTGGTTTTCCAATTTTAATTTTAAATTTAGTGTTTGATAATAAATATCGTATAAGTTTAATTTCACTTTCAGTAGGCCTACATCCAGCTTGTTGAAGATGTTTAAATTAATGTTGTTTTTCTCTGTCGATTGAATCGAACGCAGATGACAAATCAATCCCCATTTTGGAGTAGCTCCATCGCTTTTTATATACAACGCTTAATAGCATGCGATGGCACCAAACAACGTCAGAAGTGCTTTTTCCTTTCTTATAAACACATGCCATGGTCCAGTAAACCGATCAATTTTTAGCCCACTCTCCGAGAGAGGGCTTATATGATGATTTTGAGTGAATTTTGAAGTCATTTGTTTTTCTATATCTTCCTTCGTTTGTTACACGATTAGGGTGATCTTGCAATAATATGGAAGAGATGGCTTGGGGAATTTAAAGTATGAAGAGTTTTTGCGAAAATATTGTCAGGAAATATGTGAAATTTTATGTTTTTATATCGTATCTCTTACCACTAAGATGGGTTTCCCATAAAAGCGTGTTCGTCATTGATCAGATTGCAAATCGCCTGTATATTCCCCATTGTGTTTATCAACCAATCACTTGATATCAATTAGACTTTTCCCCTTTTGTCAGGTCTGTACGGTAACTAATATGTGTTTGATGTGCCTTGCGCTGTTTGAAGGCTGTGTTACTTATATAAAGTCTATTATCAACAACAAATCTAAGTAATTCATTCCCATTGTAATTCGCTTTTTTTCCCCATACGCATATGAACCAATATTACTGTGGAAAAATCCACTATCGTTCTTGCAATCTTTGTTAATTTTGGCATTAAATTCGCCCAGTATAAATAAGTCGTGACGTTGTGGTATATTACAAGCATTATTAAGTTGTTCTCTGGGTTTTTAACACTTTCAGAATTTGTTGGACTATAGCAGTTTATTATGCGACATTTTTGTTGATATTTTAACTGGCAGTTTTTATTTCAACATCAAGGTAGGCAATATTGTCAGTAATTTTTTTCCAATTACTGATATGTTGTTCGAATTTTTTTATGAATAATAAAGCCAATACCTCTTTGCCACATGTTGTTTTGTTTGAAAATAATTAATCTGTTTCCCGAGGGTATCTTAATGTCTTCGTTATTTTTACATTTAGTTTCTTGTAACGCGATTACATCTAGGCCTACATTGTATCTGTTGCAGTCCGCATCTAGCTGTTCTCTTTTGAATTGTTTAGTTATAGCCGCGAACATTAGATGTCACCAAAGAAAGAACTTTTTTGTT